GTTCAGACAGTTTCATTTCGCTCCCATCGAGTTAAAAACACAAATAAATGCACAGCCATTTGCACTCTGCATCGAAAACATATATATGAACGCGCTGTTGCACCTCTGAGAACTTTTAAGGCTTATTCTGTGGCGTTTATATAAGCCTTTTGACGGGTTGTGTCACGGAGCTGTAAAGATGGTTATGCTCACCAAGTGAATGAATCGCGTTTGTGCCGAACTCTTAACAAACACTCTTCTTCCATCCATGAACGTTTCTCTCAGTTATTGTGCGGTCTCACAGACTCTGAAGCGTCTGTCACAGCAAATCAACACATGCTGTTGTGAATAATTAAGCGAAGCGTCTTCTCATAGGATAAGAACACGCAGTCTCATGAATAATTTAATAGACACCAACGCGTCATCGATGTACTATTAGTCCATTGCCGCGTCACAAATTGTGACGTCAACACAATGTATATTTTAAACCCGGAAGATGAAAATAGCGCAAAAAAAGCTTAAAGTTAACCAGTTTTCTCCAACAGTTAAAATTATGGGACGCTAACATCGTCTTCTATGATGTGCAACACAAACACCTCTTTCATGACCCTTTAAGCTGAGAGTAAGGGGGCGGGGCTGAGCTCGTTGCTATGGATGATGTCAGAGTGCTTATTAACTATGCACACAGTGATTGGCTGATAGCTGATTAATTCATAGAAATATTGTAGCGCATGATATTATGTTGCCACATTCAAATAAAGATTTTAAAATGCAGGCCAAGTGTCACTAATCAAACAAGTAAATGTTCAGCTACTTGTCAGCCTCGTAAACAATTAGTGAATATGCATATCAACAGCCTTTTAATTAACAGAGTAATCACAGCTGATAGTAAGACATGCAAACTTAAAACAGAATAATAAATTAGTGTTAAATAAAAATAGAATGGATGAGTGTCTGTGACCCATTAAAAATACAAACATTTTTTGTCACGGGTTTATTTTAACGTGCAAACAGCAGCATACAGAACAACACAGAACCTGGATTCACACATCGTCAAATTATCCCGCACCTGCAGCGCTTCTGAGAACAGAGAACAACAGAATAATATAACAAATAAAAAGAATAAAATAAATAGGCCCACACTAAATATTTGTCAATTAAATAATTAACATTAAAGGGTTACTCCAGAGGCTCAACTTCAGTTTTGCGAAGCTACGAGAATACTTTTTGAGCACAAAGAAAACAAAAATAACACAATTTTTTCAACAATGCTTCTCCCCTGAGTTATGTCTTCCGCCATTTTGGAGAGTACCCAAGAGCGTAATCGACGTAATCAGCGTTGTTTACGTTCAGAGAGAAAGCGCACGCATGAACGTAATCAGCGTTGTTTACGCTTAGGGGAAAGCGTGCGTATGCGTTGTGATACTCTCGAAAATGGCGGAAGATGTAACTTTAAAAATACCTTTTAAACAGTTTAAACTGATAGTATTAATCGGTCAATTTTTTTACTTTCGGTTAACGGTTAAACGGTTAATATGAACATCCCTAGTTTCTAAAATGTTTACGTTCCGAGGCAGATTGTCGGAAACAGCTATTTTAGGATAGTTTGTGGCTTGGTCTTAGAAGTCTTTGGTCTTCTTCACTGCTCCTAACCTTTCACAGATCTAGGAGCTGGTTTTAGCGCTGAAACACTTTGTGAAATACTCTTAGAGCAAACATTTAGGAGTCCTACATTTAGGACTGACATGCCCATTATTTTTCTCCTAAATTGGTGAGTTATGAGCTACTTTTAGCTTTAAGATGTTTTGTGAATACGGGCCCAGGACCAACAAGGGACACATAAACAACTATCACTAAACAAAACACAGCTGTGGATCATTCAGCTAACAACACAGTATTAAGAATCAAGCGTATGTAAACATTGAACGGGGTTATTTTTATTAATTCAGCTATTATTTTCCCTTGTGGACTATATGTACATATTTTTTGAAGTTAAATATCTTATTCAGGTCAGTACTAAATACAAAATAACATGCGTTTTGGTAAAATATTTTACATTTTGTAGATTTTGTATGTAAACTTTTGACTTCAACTGTATATAACACACTCTTAAAAATAAAGGTGCTTTAAAGGTTCTTCAGCGATGCCATAGAAGAACCATTTTTGGTTCCACAAAGAACCATTCAGTCAAAGGTTCTTTAAAGAACCATCCTTTTTATTTTGTGAATCAGAAAGGTTCTTCAGATGTTAAAGGTTCTTGATGGAGCCATTTAGACAAGACAGGTTCTTGTATGGCATGGTGAAGCACCTTTATTTGTAAGAGTGCAGTTTTAGTGTTGGTAACGTGTTTGGTGGTGGTCCCCAGGATCTGATGGGTGTTCTGGAGAAGAGCGTGCGTGAGGTGGAGCGCGCCGTGGCGCAGCGGGACAGTCCTCCGGAGACGCCGCAGTTCACCAAAGCGCTGTGCATCATCCTGCACCTGCTGTTCCTGCTGGAGAAGCTGGAGAGCGCTCCGGAGCAGGAGCACCAGAAGCGGCAGACCGTGTACCGGCTGCTGAAGCTCCACCCGCGGGCGCGGAGCGGCTACACACCGCTGCACATGGCTGTGGACAAGGACACCACGTCTGTGGGCCGTTACCCGGTGGGGCGGTTCCCGTCGCTGTGTGTGGCGAGTCTGCTGCTGGAGTGCGGCGCTGATGTGGACTCGCGCGACTGCGAGAACAACACGCCGCTGCACATCGCCGCCGCTAACGGCTGTCCGGAAATCATGGCGGCGCTGATCCGGGCTGGAGCGCACTTCGACGCCACGAACGCACAGCACAAGACGGCCTACGAGCTGCTGGACGAGCAGAGCAGCGGGCGACACGCGCTACACCCGCTCAACTACGTCACGCTGCAGTGTCTGGCGGCCCGCGCCATCGAGAGACACAGGCTGCCCTACAGAGGGCTGATCTCAGAGCAGATGGAGGCCTTCATCGAGCTGCACTGACCCCCAGCAGTCATCCACCCAACCGGCCAGTGGTGCTCTCGCTCCCGAAGCGCTCGAGGTGGACGTTTACGCGAGCCATTGGTGATCTTCCAGGAAACTTGCCTCTTTCTCTTCTTGTCTTTGACTGACAGGGTCTGTTTCAGGGCATCACAAACTGCTTCTCAATCGCATGATCAGAGCATTAATGCAAAATTGAAATGCAAACGTTTTCTATCAGACCGTCTCTCGTCCAGTGTGGGAACATGGTGTAGAGTTGTTTCTTCTCAGTGATGATCCTGAAGGACCCCGTGGTGCCAAATGCTAGCCTTACGCGGTTGTCTTTTCTAACGGCTTTGAATGTGTGCAGCTGTGCTTTTAATGTGTTTTTACTGAATTTCCTTCCTCTGGGGACGGACTGTAATATATAGAACTTGGGACTATTTTTGAATTGCTGACGTTACATTGATATCTATGCAGTTTATTAACAGCGGTGGATTTGGAGTGACAGATTGGGCAACCCAGGTTGTTTTTGTGTTTTCTTTTCCTATGCAGGGTTACGTGAAAAGCTTCGTATGCGTTGTAGTCTTATTCTAAATGGCTGTAAGTTTTTATTCTTGGTAAGACTTCGTTGCTGAAGTGATGTATTTCTCTGTTGTCCGGTCTGTCCTTGTAAAAGCCACCCTGTGAAAGCACTTTGGAAATGTTAACACTTTGTTTAACCTCAAAAGCCAGAGACGTCTCTCAGAAACTATACACGTGATTTGGTTAATTTAAGACAATTTACTACAAGACAAAAATGTGTATGGTGATGCCTGAATAAAATGCAAGTGTCCCGTCTGTCTGTGTGATGTTTGTTGGTCTCCGGAACGACTGACGCTCATCTGAATCCATCTGTGGGCTCCATGAAGAGCCATTGATTGTGGGTTTTCTTTCAGGTCGGGACGATCGCAGCACAAACACATCAGATCATCATCCAAATGCTTTCCAGTCGTTAGGCAAGTTCTTCCTTTTGACAGCTTCAGAGTGTAATGTGCTTACTCTAAATAGCTGCACTGATCATCTAATGTCGTGCTATAGTTTTAGTTTCTGCGTGCTAGAACAAATATTTCCGTAAATGTCTGAGTGTTTCTCTGATAATTAGAGTTTCTGATGTAGCTCATTTACATGTCTTCAATTAATGCTGTTATGTACATTTGTTTCATAAATCATGGGCAGGTCATATTTCACCTCAAAACCAAGAAACTGTAAAGAAAATATAATTGAAGAATTATTTCTGTTGTTGTTGTAATTCATTAGTCAATCCCCTCCTATATTTCAGAAACTACAGCAAAAAATACAGAGAAATTAAATGTATTCATAATTACATTTTTAAAGTATAATTGGTATACGTCATGCTAGCATTTGTTGTGCTTTTAATTCTGATTTAAAAAAATGTTGTAGTATTGTCTAGCAGGAGGATTACAGCTAAAAGGGCATACTTTTCTAATTCCGGCTAAAATTGAACAACTTTATTAAGCAGTGATTTGGGGGTGAAATATGAAATATGACATTTCTTTCTCAGGCACCGCTTTCAAAGCTGACTGTGGTTCCTCTAGACTCTCAGGATCAGAGGTTATGGAGACTGAAGTAATTAGACTGCTGATTAATGAGCATTTAATGGCTTGTCTGAGGCTGTTTGCTGACAGAATCATGTCACATTTACACACGCAGCGTTTCAGTCATTTCCATCGGTGCCAGTTTAATTCTATTGTATTTAATACTCTAGCCTTTATCTACAGAAATATAACGTTTGAAGCTATGTCTTGGATGTTGTATGGTATTTAACAGTAATGCTGTCTGTTTTATTCCCCTTCAGTCTCGTTTGTTCAAACAGAAAACCAGAAACCCGATCTTGGGGCGAGCAGATATAAATAGTGTGGTGATCATCTGTGTGAGGGATCTCCTGAGAGCCGCGCCTGTGTTCCTGGACTATTCTAGGGTCCTGTGCGTGTAATCGAACCCTTGGCTCTGGGGTCAGTCGTCCTGAAGGTCTGGAGCAGCATTACATCGTGTCCCATCAGAACTGATTAATGCCAATCGCTTTACTGACATTCTGTTTAAACGCTCTTTATGGGCTTGTGTCGTTTCTATATGTGCTGAGATGCTGGAAGACACTGATGATATAAAGCTCTGAGATGTGCAGATTTAGATTAGATTTATTCATTTAGCAGACGCTTTTGTCCAAAGCGACTTACAACTGGGAATACATCAAGCGATTCGTCTTAAAGAGGCAAATACACACCGGAAGCATTGTTCAAATAAGTACAAGCCAGACAGGTGAAGATTTAAGAAAAGAGAAAATTATAAAAAAAAATTATTTTAGCCTGAAGTCAAATAGTGCTGAAAGAGATGTTTTCAGTATCCGTGTAGCCGTAGCATACGCTGCATTCAAAATGCAATCACACACTTGATTTATTTTACCATACAAAACTGCAGTGGAATTAATTTAACACATTTCTACAATTTTCATTTGCAATATTCATTGCAAAGGTAAAACAAATATTGTTTGCATAAGTTTTTTTCAGATGCAGCTTAAGGAGAAGAGTGAGTGAGAACTGCTCCGTCTCGGGTCACAGGAGCACATTCTCTCATCAGACTGATAAACGCTCGGATGGTGTAGCTGCGGATGGAAAGCACATCTTGTATCTTTGTAATGTGTTTTCATGTCACAATAAAATACAACTTCAGTCTTTCTACTTTAAAAAAAATCCCCATTTAATTAAATGTTTTGCTTGCCATTTCTTTGTAATTATTTGTGAAATTTACTAGCTATTTCTACTGGCAAAGAAAATTACCAACAAAGTAGTTTTAAAGTAAATTCAAATTTTTAATTTTTAATTTTAATGCCACAACACTGCCTGACCATTAGATGGATTTCCAGACTGACCTGTGTTTATAAATGAAATCCCTTGAATGCTCACAAGTGATCTTTATTTAACTATTCATGTGAACTGTAGCCCCAGCTGGTTGGTTAGGGTTAGGGATGACGGGTTTGCTGTAAAGACTGCGTTCTTGTCACAAAGAAATGTCTTTTCAACCACCATATAACCTGCTGTAGAGCTGCATGATGCGGTTTCTCCGAGTCTGATCTGGATCCTCTGTAAATGGCCTCGGATCGGAGAATAAAAGACAATGGAGCCCATTATGACACGAGATGCCTCCTCGCTCGGATCAGTCCTTTATTCAGAGCTCGAGAGACATCAGCGGGAGAAGAGTTCCGTGCGCGGCCGCTAGAGGGCGCCAGAAGAGTTCCGTGCTTCTGTTATTGTTTCCTCTGCATCTTATCTCAGAAGTCATTTACAATCGAATTCAGTGTAAGAAATGAATCTTTCCATTGTTATTACAGCCCGACATATTTTTTGTGGCCTTTTTGCCTCTGCAGTATTTCAGATGGGAAGTGGGTGGGATTGGGAAATGCTCGCGGGACTCGAACTCGGGACAACGGCGCATTACAGCCTGACATTTGACCTCAAACTGATTGTTAGTTGTTTTAGAACGTTTTCCTACATAAAAATGTCATCTACTGGTATACAGTATAAAACAAATGCAAAAGGTAAACGAAGATATACATCCTTCTAGTTCAAAATGTCATGTTGCATTAAGAGCCGGGGGTGAAAACTTTTTGAATTTGAAGATGTGTAAATTTAACTTATTTTGTCTTCTGGGAAACATGTAAGTATCTTCTGTAGCTTCTGAATGGCAGTAATAAATGAAAAAAAAAAAAATATATATATTTAGGCAAAATAAGAAAAATGTACACATCTTCATTATGTTCAAAAGTTTTCACCCCCGGCTCTTAATGCATGGTTTCTGCTTCTGGAGCGTCTGACGCTTCTGTAATAGTTGCATGAGTCCCTCAGTTGTAATCAGAGTGAAAAGATGGCTCTCAAAATCATACAGTCACTGCTGGAAAGGGTTCAAAAACACAAAAATGCTGGAAAACCACAGATTGTGTGGGAGCTGAGGGGTTTTTCTGAAGAACAGCAGGCAGTTTAACTGTTCAGCAAAAGGTAAACGAAGATATACATCCTTCTAGTTCAAAATGTCATGTTGCATTAAGAGCCGGGGGTGAAAACTTTTTGAATTTGAAGATGTGTAAATTTAACTTATTTTGTCTTCTGGGAAACATGTAAGTATCTTCTGTAGCTTCTGAATGGCAGTAATACATGAAAAAAAAATATATATATATATTTAGGCAAAATAAGAAAAATGTACACATCTTCATTATGTTCAAAAGTTTTCACCCCCGGCTCTTAATGCATGGTTTCTGCTTCTGGAGCGTCTGAAGCTTCTGTAATAGTTGCATGAGTCCCTCAGTTGTAATCAGAGTGAAAAGATGGCTCTCAAAATCATACAGTCACTGCTGGAAAGGGTTCAAAAACACAAAAATGCTGGAAAACCACAGATTGTGTGGGAGCTGAGGGGTTTTTCTGAAGAACAGCAGGCAGTTTAACTGTTCAGGACAAACAAGGGACTCATGAACAACTATCAGTAAACACAAAACACACAGCTCAGCTAACAACACAGTATTAAGAAACCAACTTTTGAATGGGGTCATTTTTATAAATTCAACTATTATTTTCTCTTGTGGACTATTTGTACACATCTTTTAAGTGAAATATCTTATTCAGGTCAGTAAATAAAAAAATAACATGCATTTTGTATGATCCCTCTAATTGTGATGTAAAATAGTTAACATTTTGCAGTAAACTTTTGTCTTCAACTGTATTTCCATATCTTAAAACAGTTTTAACTGGTAATTAATAGAACAGGCAATGTGTTATAAGTTCATTTTCCCCCATTTTAAAATGTCATTTTTGTCAATTGTCACATTTCTGCCCAGATCCAGTCAATAAATGTAGATCAATGCAACGAATTATTTTCCTTTAGGATTCTTCATCGAAAAGCAACTCGATCTGTCGGCGAGACGCTTGCTTCTGGAGGAGCGGAGTGAGTGACGTCATCTCCGAGAGGAAGAGGAGGAGGAGGAGAGGCTCTGCCTGCGAGCACCGATGACATCAACGAGCTCAAGACTCTCCGGAGGCTCTGCCTGAGAGCGGAATATGATGCTCGAGTCTCCTCCAAAGGCACCTTCGCGCAGGTAAACGCGGCTCTTTTCGTGTATGTTGAGAAATGATCGCATATGTGCTCAGATTACACCTGCGTCCTCCCGGAGAGCTGCCTGCGCTACCTGCGCGCTGTTACTGTGTGTTCAGAGAGGTATTGATGAGAGGAATAGCGGTTATTTGGCTCGTTGCTCGATCGCATCCAGACGCGTTTGCGCCTTTGTTCGGGTTTCGCTCCAGATGCTCGGCTCTGTCTCTCCGGATTCACATTTCAAACCTCCGCCTCGTGCATTTGAAACACTGAGCGGATCCTGCTGGAAACAAGCGATAATTGAAGCGATGTGTGTTTTCTGACCTGCTCAGCGATCATGGCTGATGATAACAGCGAAATATGAAGGAAAATTACTGAGCCGCTTCACTGGGACTCCAGCGAACAAAGCCCGTCTGGCACTGATACACTGATGCAACCCCAACGCGTCTACTGTAGTCTGGTAACGTTACAAATAACAAATCAAACATAAAATACTACCAGCACAAAGAATATCATTTCTACAGTGCATGAGTTTTATATGCAAACACAGACAGAACCTGCTCTTTAATTCAGTTTTAATGAGCTGCTAAAAAAAGCAAACTGTAATTGTGAAGAAATATCTAGAAAAATATTGTGAAAGAACAGTACAATAATATATGAGTGGTTGCCAGGTGTTGCTAAGGTGTTGTTATATATGTATGTAATTGCACAGTTTTTTATTCACCTCCCAACTTGATTCTTGTTCTGTGTTTGTCACACACACACACACGCACACTCAAGCACACACACTCTCACACACACACACACACACACTCAAACACACACACTCTCACTCACTCACTCACTCACTCACTCACTCACTCACTCACTCACTCACTCACTCACTCACTCACTCACTCACTCACTCACTCACTCACTCACTCACTCACTCACTCACTCACTCACTCACTCACTCACTCACTCACTCACTCACTCACTCACTCACTCACTCACTCACTCACTCACTCACTCTCACACACACTCGCTCACTCACACACTCACTCACACACACACACACACACACTCACTCACTCACTCACTCACTCACTCATCAGCAGTTCCTCGCTGTAGATCTCATGGGTTTCTCATAATGATCTCAGCTGTGGCTATTTGTGGACATCAGCGTGAGTGAGAATCCTGCCAAATTCTCTCAGTGGGATCAAACTTTGTTCATCCATCCGCTGTGTTGAGTGTTTTAATATCACATTATTCTGCATTAAATCTAAAGAGTGAGATTCTTATCACTGTCAAATCATCTCGGTTCATCCACATTATATTTGTTAGGCTTTTGTCAAGACAGTAGATATTCAGTTTTTGTCTTTATATTTATGCATTTATGCATTTAGCAGATGCTTTTATCTCAAGTGATTTACAAATAAGGAATACAACAACCGCTTCATCTTGCATCAATAAACACAAGAAGTGCTTGTAATATAAAGTGTCAAACATCATCTAGAATAGAACAAACTAGAACAAGGAAGGATTCAGGAATCGGCAAAGCAAAGGTTTCAGTTAAGTGTTCGCAGAAGAGAAGAGTTTTCAGCTTCTAAACGTGTATAGATATCATTTCAGAAACACTGGAAAGCTCTGTTCATTTACTAAATCATCAGACTTATGTTTTCTCTTGGCGAACGATAAAACAACAGATGCACATTGAATATCTTGAGGGGACTGTAAGAAAACAGCTAGCAGCTGCATCACATGCTGAAACTGCTCAGAACAGCTTAGCATTGTGCTGTGTTTAGAAAAAGGCTGGATACTGCTTACACAACATGGTGTGCATGCAGAACACACGTGCTGGCTGAGTGTAACACTCATGATATTCTCTGTGCTCGTATCACTGTATTAAACCCATCATCTCTCCTGCTCCGTCCGACGCTCTGATCAGAAGATGCTTTCATTCTCCTGCTGCACGGCTCATGTTTTCATCCGGGTGTATTTTATGTAATTGTAATGCTCACAGCGGCTTGGCTTTGTGTGTGTGTTCTTCAGCGCAGGGTTAAGTAGGTTAGAGCTGTGGTTTAGCGGTGAGGCAGACCTGTCAGGACGATGATCTCTGAATAACACAGCCCTGTTTACTGCTCAAACCAGTGAAGCTACACCGGCAGGATTTGAGTCGCAGCAGTGCATTAAACTTTCCGAATGATGTGAACTGAAAGCGCAGTGGTTTCTCTGTTAGGGCCCCTGTGATCGTGGCTCTAGACTGACAGTCAATCTCAAGACGAGCGTAGCGTGCTTTTGGGAATACAAGGGAGAATCGCTCGGCATCCGTGTGCCAAAATATCTGCTCGGGTTTCTCTGGAAGCTGGTGAAACTGAAAAAAAAAAAAGATCAAAATGTTGTTAGTTTTTGCTTAAAACGAGCAAAAATATCTGCCAATGGGGCAAGAAAAGTAATCTTGTTTAGCTTTGAATTAAGATCATAGAAGAACATGATGAAGGTTTATGTGCTGAGAGCAGATGTCCTGTCCTTCTGTTCCTCATTTGCTCTTTAATATTGATCTTTGGCCTCGAAATGTACAGACTTCATTCACAAGAGTGACATCAATCCATACGGTCAATAACTCGTCACTCAGTGATAAAGACCTCAGGCTTTTGGGTTTTCACAAAACATAACGATTCAAAGCAGCTTTAGATGTCAGAGGAGACTGTGTCAAAGTAATGTTCATATAATAACGATGCTATCGTTCCACGTGCTATTAATGCACACTGCAAACAATGATTTTCTTACTTAGTATTTTTGACTTGTTTCTAGCACAAATATCTAAAGATTCTTAAATCAAGATGCTTGAGATGCAAAATAAAGGCAAGAAGTCTTGAATCAGAATGAAGTGAGTTTATGCTCAAAACAAGAGCAAATATCTGGCAGTGGGGTCAGAAAAATCAGCTTAACTCAAAAGGAAACAAGTGTAATTTTCTGACCCAACGGCAGATATATTTGTTCTTGTTTTAAGCATAAATTCACTTTATTATGATACATTTCCTAGAAAACAAGTAAATGTATGTTGATTCAAGAATGTTTCGATATTTGTAACAGAAAACAAGACAAAAATACTGAGGAAGAATTCATTTTTTTGCAGTGCAGTGATTACAGTATAATAATAATAATGATTGGCCAAAATTTATTTAAAAATAAATAAATAAATATTTTGAGTCATGTTTGCGGAGAGCTGTTGATCTAGAAACACTGAATCACATTTGATGACGTTCAGAGCTCTCTGAATCTGTCAAGCTGCTCATAATTTACAGCAGTTCATCTTTACTTAGTTTACAAGCTACTAACTAACACTAGTTAACCACACGAACACTAACATAGCTCATTTCATTCTGTTAGCTGACAGACTGCACTGTCTCAACCCAGCAAGCTCAAATCTTATTGGCTGGATTTACTTCCTGTAGTAACTTCTACAGGAAGTAACTACAGGAGCGTGTGTGTGTGTGTGTGTGTGTGTGTGATTCTATGTGTGTGTGTGTGTGTGTGTGTGTGTGTGTGTGTGTGAGTGCGCGTGAGCGTGAGCGAGTGCGTGAGCGAGTGCGTGAGCGTGTGTGTGAGCGTGTGCGTGTGCGTGAGCGTGAGCGTGAGTGCGAGTGTGTGTGTGTGTATGTGTGTGTGTGTGTGTGTGTGTGTGTGTGTGTGTGTGAGTGCGCGTGAGCGTGAGCGAGTGCGTGAGCGAGTGCGTGAGCGTGTGTGTGAGCGTGTGCGTGTGCGTGAGCGTGAGCGTGAGTGCGAGTGCGTGTGTGTGAGCGTGTGTGTGTGTGTGTGTGTGTGTGTGTGTGTCACATTGCTTTAAAGTGATAGTTCACCCAAAAATTATCATTCTGTCAACAAACAGTTTTGGTTCCCATTGACTTCCATTTTATTATGGACAAACAGAACAGTGGAAGTCAATGGGAACCAAAACTGTTTGTTGACAGAATGATCATTTTTGGGTGAACTATCACTTTAACGCTTGAATGCATGAATGTTTCACCAATCATTATTGCATAATCATGTATATCTAACACGGATAGGTCTCTAAATTGTCTCAACAGTATGAAACTGTCCCGATATTTTAATAACAATTCAAACATAATCAAATAAAGCATATTTCGTTATCTGTTGGAACTTGGACGGGTGTTTAGAGCGGCATCATTTTTCATCACCATCATCACTTACGTTCAGCTTCTGGCTCATACTGGCCGCCTGAGCTCTCGATATGTTGATCTCAAAACGTTTTCATTTTCATCATCTTCAAAATCAGCATTTTGTTTGCTGAGAGCTTTGTCATCAGATCCAACAGTAAATGACTCTAGTGTTTAATTGTGAATGTGCTCTGCAGCGAATCACAGAGCCATGCCGAGAGTCTCTGATGAAGTTTGTTATGCATCACGTCATCAGCTGGAGGAATAAACGTGATTCTGTCTGTGATGAGGAGTGAATGAGAGATCTGTGCAGCCGTCTGCTGAATATACACAGCGTCTCTTATCGCGCCGGCCTTTGATTCTTGTTGATGTGTGTCATACTCTCGTTTGTAATAACACAGCTTATGAAGGATGATCCGGGCTTTGCGAGGCCTGTTTCCGGTGCAGGAGGGTTTGCTTCATTTGCCGTTAATCCACCTGCGTCGTTAGTCTGGGCTTCATTGATATTTTGATCATATTTCTTTTCCAAGCACATTTTACCAATACCAAACCACATCAATCTTAATAACTACAATTAATTTTGTATTTAATCATTTATAAGTGATAAATAATTGTCCATGAAGGCCAGAAATGAAAAACTCCTTATATTCAGGTGCGCATAATTAGTAAGCAGGTTTTCTTTATAGATAAAATGAGCCAAAAAGAGATTGACCTCAGACTGAAAAGTCAAAACATTTGAGATGCCCATGAGAAGGATGCAATACTAGATTGTTAAGGCATAACCACTGGACAGCAATGCTCACTGGGTCAGCCAGGTCAGAGAAAACAGGTGGAGAAGAAAAGA